AGAAAGTAACAAGTGGCTTACTAGTAGTAACAGGTGCCTTACTAGTAGTAACAAGAAGCTATTAGAAACAAGTGCCTTACTACTAGTAACAATAAGAATGTAATTAGAATTGTAATTACTAGCAAAGGAATCTACTAGGACCTTTTCGCGCGCGCGCGCGCGGGGGGGGGGTAGGAACAAGTGCCTTACTAGTAGTAACACGGACGCTCTTGTTTCTAATAGCGAACATTGTTACTACTAGTAAGGCACTTGTTACTAGAAGCGATGCACTTGTTACTAGTAGCTTCTTGTTACTACTAGTAAGGCACCTGTTACTACTAGTAAGGCACTTGTTTCCAGATCCATTTGTTACATCTGTCTTTTTGGAAACGGGAAATACTCGGAGCGTCAGAAACACTTCACCAGAAGCCAGCCTCGTCCCGCTTTCAGAAATGGTAGATTATGTTTTGAGAAACGGAGAGATCTTCACTGACAAACAGTGACAAACACTTAGGGCAAAAAACGACCAACGCATGGGCTTTGGTTGCAAATGATCTAAGTGAAAGAAAACTCGCACGATTGGGCTCTACAGGTGTAATCAAACCGTGTCAACAAACCAAGAGCTTCTTAGGCAAGGTCTGGAAGACACGGGAATGGCCACTCACATGGCTAAGAAGTCCGGGTAAACGACGTGAAACCTACTAGCAATGGCCTCCAACCTAAGTTGAAGGTTAAGTGTCCTAAAAAATCTAGGAACCAAATCATTAGTGCGTGAGCTATCCTGGGTCCTGTCGGTAGTAGCTACTTGTCAGCTACTAGCTACCTAGCTACCTCACCTCTACGGCCTACTCGCCAAAAAATGGAACACAGATCAACTCATTCTAATTCCAAATAAGGACTAGCGAACATTGCTCCTAGTAGTATGGCCAGGAGCCCCTAGTAGCGAACATGGTTCATATGAACAAAAAGCAACACATTTCTTTTGCATTTCTACACCGTTCTCGCTGCTACGCTTCTTAGGGATCTCGCAGTTCTGCAGTGATGCGCCGGAGCACACGGCCACGCACATCATGCAGGCCTTGAATCGCACATGCAATCGCTGTCTTGTCATGAGATCGCCTCTTTTTAATCCTTTTTCTTCAAGGAAACAATCCCTTAAACATGTTTTTCTTTTCATTTTCTTGTCTTTCTTTGCACCTTTCCGTTTTTGTCCTTTTGCTTCCTTTCTTTGCTCGAGGACTGTGAGACCCTGGCAGTGACTGTTTAAGTCTGGTCGGGCATTCCGATCTCCTGACATGAGATATGACGTGCAAGCGACAAAAAAGGACGGGTAGTTGGAGACCATCACTCTTAGGTTGGAGGCCATTGCTTCTAGGTTTCTTTTTCTTTCTTCTTTCTTCTATTAAGGAAGAATGCTGCCAGCCCGCAGCCAGTTCTGGTCTATCTTTGTGCGCAAAGTTCTGAGGCACACACTCAAGGATTTCCAAAGGGTCTTCACAACCTACAAGAAAAGACTTGAAAAGAACAAAGAAGTGCAAAGAGTGAAGGTATGAAAAGAAAAGAAGTCTCTGAGTTCCTGTGTTTTCCAAGACTGTTCACTGCCCCACTGAGAAGTGCTGCACGGCGTTTGGAGAAAGACTTCGAGCGGTGAAAGGCTGCTTCGGTTTTAGCGCCTTAGTCATGAACAGTGTGAACATAGCGGCCTCCCTACGGTTTGAATCCGTCGGAACTCACAGAAGAATCCGCATATAGATCCGTGGTGCCAAAACCTACACCTTTATGGACCTTCACCTTACCTTCCTTTTTCCCTTTTTCCTTTTCTTCGTTTTCTTTTTTCCTTGTGTCGAACAGCGATGGCCTCCACCCTAGTAGCGATAAAGGACCCTTTAAAGGGACCTTCATCAACAAAAATCGGTCATTTGCGTAGCTTTGTGTGTTCGTTTGGCCCTACTTCATTTTACAACATTCGAGTCTTTTTGCAACGACTTGATCGAAGAAATCGTATTCAGCATGTTTGGTCATCCACCTCTTTCTTCTTCATCATCAGCCTCCCTGAAGAAGGCCTGGAAGAGACTCTGCTTTCCCAAGTTAAGCAAAAACTCTTCCTTTGCCAAGGACGCTACTAGCTCAAGCTAGTAACAAGGGCATCGCTAGTAGTAACAGGTGCCTTACTAGTAGTAACAAGTGCCACGCTACTAGGAACAAGGGCATCGCCCCATGCAGAACAAAATGGCCCCCCCAATTCGAACGAAGAACAGCGGATGCTGTTGGCGTGACGACAACAACGATCTCAAGCGAATTGCCTTTTCTGCTAGTGGGCCATTCTATGACAAGAAAGCATCCGAAGAGTTACTTAAGCGGCAAAGGCCTAAAGAAAAGTGAAAAGCGGCAGAGGCCTATGAAAAAAACACAATATGCACCTGTTCTGTCCATCGAACTTCTTTGACTAAGCCGAGTCTTCATGCTGATCAGTTACTACATGCTGATCACGTTGTCGCCTCGATGATGTCTTGGGAGCTGGTGCTGGCGCTGAGGTACAGCGCCACGGGCAAGGTCACATGCCGATAAGCACCATCATCCTTGCGTTTCATTCCTTGCTTTTCTTTAAAAACGGAAGCCAATTTCGCAAACACAATTTTGTCTTTCTATTTCCCTTTTCTTTAGACTTTTAGACTCTCTTTCCTTTCCTGCTCTTTCTTACTAGTAAACAAGTAAAAAACAATTTCTGCACTTCCTTGACGAAGCTGTCTTTGGCTGTAGCAAAGGGTAGTGTAGAGCAGCAACACAAGGGATAATCCACACCACAAGAATCTGAAACTTTCTGGAATCAACTGTCCTGAATTTCCATGCCCCCAATCTTCCTGAGTTCATCCTGCGCACTCGGTTCAAGGCGGCCATTCGGCATGTTGGAACTTTCTCCATAGTTTACTTGCTTTTCCACGTTTTCTAAGAACAAATTAAACACATTGTGAAACAAGGCAATCGCTAGTAGGTTGGAAGCCATTAAATGTTGACATGCTTTACATTGTAAGCTGTGACAGGCTCAGATGTGTGGCGATTCCTGACGTGATGTGCGGTGACCTCTGCAAGATTTCAAGTTGTAACAAGTGCATCGCTAGTAGTAACAAGTGCCTTACTAGTAGTAACAAGAAGCTAGTAGAAACAATAAGCTAATAGCTTCTTGCTCCTAGTACGGCCAGGAGCCCCTAGCAGCGTCCTTGCTCCTAGTAGCGATGCCCTTTGCTCCTAATAGCTTCTTGTTACTACTAGCGATGGCCTCCAACCTATTTCGCTATTTCATCTATTCTTCTGTACTTTTCTACTTCTCTACTTTTCCACCTCTTCAAAGCACAAGCCACCCACCTTTTCTTCGCTTCGCGCATTCTACAACTCTCCGTAACGCGGAAATTTCTTCTGCGAAAAATATCAACTTCCTGGATTCTTCGGAAAAACATCTCCAAGAACACTATTAATGTTTCCTTGCTAGGGCAACGTCAAGCTGAAAGTGGCCTCGCTCGCCAACATGTCTCTGATACTTTCCAAAAGCTCTTCCAACATCGCTCGCCCTTCCTCAGAAGACACAAATTGCAATTCTCATCACGGAATTAATTGCAAATGACATTCTGCCATTGAGACATTCAGAAACTCCTTTCTCATTATTTGTCATGGATTTTTTTTTTCTCATGTTCGCTCAAAGGTTGAAGGCCAGTTTGTCCTCATGTTCTTCCTACCTTCACACCCATATAAGCTTCCCAAAACATCTAGGAACCAAAGGAATAGAAGCGTTAGCTATCCTGCGTCCATATGTCAGAGCGTCCTGTACCTACTAGCTACCGTTTGCTCCCACTAGCTACCTCTACCTACCACCTGCCCTCCCCCCCGAGCAAGGACGCTACTAGGGGCTCCTGGCATCGCTACTAGGAGCGATCGGACGCTATTAGGGGCTTCTGTTCGCTTCACCAGGTTCCCAAACCATCTCAGGGTCGACTTCAGCCCCTTCGGGCAAAGGTACTCGGATCTTGGCCTAACAACAAAACGACAACCGAAACAATTCGAACAACACAAGCAACAAAACATCAAACTGCATGTAGAAGTCTCAAAAAGCAAAGGTTTTTGCAAATGACATGAAAGAGACATCGCCTCAACAATCTCTCGCGGCAAGGTGAGGAACTCTTTTTGGATTCCGCGGGGATACAAATCCAACTGTACTTCACCCGCCACCTCGAAGCGACGAAACGACGTGCAAGAACACCGGTTCTTTCTTTCTCTTTTTTTCTATTTTTTTAAAATTCTTTAGGTTTTCCATTCCTTTCACCTTTTCCGCAAAACCCCTGGGGCTGCTGCAACAACAGAGGGCAGTGGCACCACTTCCACCATTTCCGGCGGCGATTCCTCCTCGATCAAACGCGGTGATAGAAACCCTTTTGATGCTAGCGATGCACTTGTTACTACTAGTAAGGCACTTGTTACTACTAGTAAGGCACTTGTTCCTAGTAGCGTGGCACTTGTTTCTACTAGCTTCTTGTTACTACTAATATCACCACCATGATGACTTGCATCACCAGCATCATCCACGCGTCAATCAACGCTCACCACCCCAATAGACTTACGCGTTTCTATTGGTTTGCCGGCATCTCCCCATCAAACCTCTTCGTTCGTATCGAACTCCATCGTTGTCGCCTCCCCTACTAGCGATGGCCTCCAACCTCGTGAAGGTATGCAGATTTGACACCACAGCGTGTCCTCCACCTTCTCTGGCACATCCAACAGGGCTGGCCTTGAACTTCTGGGCTAGTTCTCTTATACACTGAACACAAAGGAAAACAGCAAAGAAAATGAAAGGTCTGCAGCTCCAAAGCAAAAGATAAAAAAGGAAAAAGGAATGGGTTGGAGGCCATCGCTATTAGGTTAAAGAGAAAGAACGGAAAGGTCTAAAGATCTAAAGACATTTGCGCTGTGAAGGCATGAATGCAACTTCATTGGTCCGTCCGGGCTCTGACCAATCTGCGTGGATCCGTGCTTTATGCAAATCCTCCTGCAAAAAAGAGAAAAACCATACTAGCAATGGCCTACTAGTAGCTTCTTGCTCCTAGTAGCGATGCCAGGAGCCCCTAGTAGGTTATTTTCACACCTTACTAGCAATGGCTTGAAACCTACCCGCGATGGCCTACAGCCTAAAAGAAGAAAGAGGTGCCTATAAACATAAATGCTAATCCTCTTGTGCTGAATCTTTTTTTACATCTTGAGGTTTTAATTTATTTTAAATAAATTAATTAGAACTTAATTCAATTCAATTCTAGTTTAATCTATTTTAGTTCTAATTTATTTAATTCTAATTTGATCTAATTTAATTTGATTCTTATTTATTTTAATTTAGTTCTAATTTAATTTAATTTAATTCTAATTTGTTACTACTAGTAAGGCACTTGTTGCTAGTAGCGATTTCTATTTACACCTTGAGGTCGTTTTTCGATTCCTGTTCTGAGTTTTGACCCTCGAATCGGTGTCAATGTTGTCGCATCTGTCGCATCGTTGCCACTTCGTCACCCACGTCCTGCAGCATCTTGATGTTCCTTGCCTTGCGACAGCTAAACCTCATCAACTGACCTTCAACCTCAAAAAAAGGTTACAACGATTGTATTGAACAAATCGATTTAAACGTGAAAACCTCTTAGACCTTAGGAAGGTCCTGGGAGGTGTTACTCTCTACAAAGGCACAGGAGCAGGGAACAAAAGAGGACAGGTGGTGCGACATGGTGCCCTTTGCAAGAGGAGGCCGCAAAGGAGGCTACTAGTAGCTTCTTGCTACTAGTAGTAGTGCCCTTGCCACTAGTAGCGATGCCAGGAGCCCCTAGTAGGCATCCGGCTCGAGCTGCCCTTGCCTCAGGGAGTTTTCAAGGCCCCCGGGGCCAGGCCGTCGCTGCGAGGCGAGGTCTGGCGTCTAAAAAGGCGATCGACCCCTCGTAGCCAGCCGGTTCCACCTGACCGCGCGTCCTTTTCGTTCCTGTGTGCCCGCCGCCCATGTCGGCCCTCCCCTGCCGGGCATCACTACGTGATCCTGAATTGGACCGCAAGGTCTTGGCCATCTTCTCCAGTTCCTTGATGGTTCTTCATGCTGGACAATTGGATACCGAAAGATGGTCGCTATGACTGTGGATGCTGTACACGCGGATTACATCCACGGTTCGTTGTGTGCCCTCCACCATCGAACTGGCTTAGATTGGGAAGGACGGCAATCCCATGATGCTGTTGTCCGAGTTCCAGGTCTTGACAACAGGTACCCCCTTGTTTGTACAAGCGAGAGGATCTTGGTTGCGGGTGTCCTCAAACACCTGTCAGATGATGGAACCAAGGTGGAATTCCAGAAAGGAGCGACCATTGTCCAAACTTCATTGGAACATCCTGCGCCTTTTTGCAGGAGGCTATGGAGGTTGGGCCCAGGCAGCGGAGTGGTTACCGTCAGACAACACCGGATTTGTTCTGGATCGGCAAGTGTTTGTCGACTGGGATCCACGGGTGGTGCAAACCTGTGCCATCAATCATGATGCATTGGTGGTCAAAGCACCTCTCGACCCAAGCAGTGAGTTCGTGGTGCGCAAGCAGACCATTGTTGAGGCAGCCGTTTCTGACCTTACAGTCTTGCGTACGGTACGCATGCCATTCAACTTGGTTTCGACCTTGAGCCCGCCATGTGTTTCCTGGTCAAAGGGTGGAGCTGGTGGTGGACTGGACTCCACTCATGGACTAGCCCTACTGGAAGGCATCGAGATGTTGTTCGCAACTCAACCGGTTGCGGCACTTGTTGAATGCGCCGATGAGATTAAAGCTCATCATCATTTTCCAGTTTTTGGTGCACTCATGTCCCTGTTGGGTTTCAAGCAAGCTTGGGAGCAGGTAATCCCTTACCATTACTTGGCCAACCACTACCGGAACCGCTGGCTTGCTTTGTGGGTTCGATCCGACATTCCGGCCACGGAAGTCACCAACTTGTTCAAACTCATGGTTCCACCCATAGTTCCATGGACGATATTCGTTCTGCCTGCATCAGGAGGTGCAGCACCAGCTCAAGCTTTCACCAGATCAGTTTTTGACCTATGGTGAGTTGCAATTGCTGCCCATTGGCAAGCGAGCCAGGGTTCAACCGTCGGTTACTGCCCTGCAAGTTGCTCGGGCAAGAATTCCCCTGCCGCAAGAACCGCTTGCTACGTTGTGCTCATCGTACACACAGCAGCGCAACCTGGATCGCAATCATTTAGCTCGCAGGGGTATCTATGCCAGTCTTGTTGAGCAGGATGGGGAATTCTTTTTCCTCGATCCGGTTTGCTTCGTTGCATTGTTGGGAACTGTCACCGACTTGGCTATTCCTCTCAACTTGACACATGCCTTTCACCAGATCGGTAACGCCATTAGTGTCCCACATGCATTGCTAGGTATCCTGGTCATGCTATCTTCGATCACAACGCAGTCGTTTCCTATCCAGGAATGCATTCGCAAGTGTTGGTTGAGCCGCATCCATGCTGATGTCACGGTCCTTGTTGTCGAGGGCGACCATGTTTGGATCCGAAATGTGGTGCAATTTGTCCTGTCTTTGCCGAAGCCTCGGTTCCACGTTGTTACTCCGAACGTGCAAGTTACCTTTCTTGATGAGGACTTTCCCATTGAGATTGGTTGGCATTTGAATTTTCGTGAGTTTGGGGCATTGTTGTTCCAGCTGCAACCACACCTTATGATGCAGATCAGGGTTGAACATTTCTCTGCGAAGCCAATGCCCACGGACACGGTCCTTGACTTCCTGGCCCGCGACAAAGAATGTGATCTGTACCTTGGGGGCTATCACTTATGCTCAGTGAAGTGGGTTGAATCATTGGCACCTTCCACTCCCTCGGATGACCGGGAGGATCTTCGGAACATGACACCTCTACCGTGTGGCATTCCGGGCTTACCTTTTGGCCCGTTTGACCCTGCAGACCTTTTGTTCACGAAGGCTATTGAGAATCTCGAAAATCTCAACTGTGTGACATCCTTCCCAGGAAGCACCTTCGTCATTGTTGCTGGAACCAACCTATGGGCCTTCACTCCTTTCGATGGCACCGAGTCTCAATTTGCCACACGCATTCGTACTGCTTTCGCTTGCCTCGTGCCTCAGGATCGAGCAGTTGTCATCCCAATCCACAAGAATTTTCGGTGGAGAACCGGTACCCGAGGCTTCATTGTGCGTGATCGTGACCAGGAAGGTTTTACAAATGCCGTGACTGTCCTTCATGAGACTCCCCTTCCTGTCGGCACCTCAGAGTTCACAGTTGTCACGGGTTCCTCCCATCGACCGACATGCCAGCTTCACAATGGATTTGCCTTTGACCCTACTCTTGTGCCCGCCGATGGCGATGTTTTCGTACTTTCGCACCAGATTGTGCGAGCAGGTGGCGTGCATGATGTTTGTAAGAAACGGCTTGTCCTCCTCCCCGGAGCCACTTTCGGTGAGAGATGCGAGTTTGCTGCCAACACTGACGGATGGGCGGCAACTGATGAAGTTTGGCACATTACATCCATTTTCAACTGGTCCACTCCGAACATCCAATTCCTTGTCCCTGTCTTTTGGGACACAAGAATCAACGAATTGGTGCCGTGCGATGGGCAGCAGTTTGGCTTTCACAACAATACCATCTCCATCCTGCCTTTGCTGATCGACAATCATTGGGCAGGTGTTGAGGTAATTCGCTTAGCTGAGGTTATCCAGGTCGTGTTGGTTCGTGCCACCGGAACTGCAAGTACGCCTACATCAGATTCTTGCGAGGATCTTCGATGTCAACTTGCGTGGCGGGAGCAGATCTTCAACTTGTGTGGGTGGACTCTGCTGCATCGATGGAGTGCTATGCTGCCAATTGAAGATTGGACTGACCCAGTTGATCTCACAGCAATTCCACCAGCTAAGCTGCAAGCGATCCACATTGCCATTGAGGCCAGCCAGGAGGACTGGCGTGCTTCTGGTGCTAGCCCGGTGCTCCTTCGTTTTGCAACGCAGTGCCGAACTCGTGTCCTTGCATTTCTTGCCAGGTCTACAACCGCAGTGTCTTCCGCAGTCACTATGCCTTTGTCCACCAATGTCCATTCGATTGAGATCAATCCTGATGCAAGAGCGGCCACTATGTCACCCTTTTCAGGAGAGACGCCTCGTCACCTTCTCGACTATCTCAACCGAAGACTCGAGGACTTCCGGTGTGAACCAACATGGGCTGCAAGTGACGAAATCGACTTTGCACTTGACGTCCTCCGTCCGTATGCTTCGCACAGCTTGTTTGGGATCCGCAGTCCACTGCTTTTCGTTCCATCACAGGGGTTCAAAGGCCACTCGCGGGCTGTACGGACATTGTTGCGCCTCTCCGAGTTGGACGTCGTTGGGTACAATGCGATGTCTTTGCGCACGGCCAGACACTTTTCGCGCTGTTTACCGACACACTGCCGGAAACAGTCGATCCGCAGACCCTTGCCGATGCTTTCGGCAGATTGTTTGCCGTGCGCTCTAGCAATGTCACCTTCGTCTCCGGTGATGCCCCTACACCAGAAGGGCTTGGGAGGCTTTTCGACCGCTATAGGATTCCAATCCCGCTCGTGTCTAGACAGATGACACAAGCACTGTTCCAGTCGCAGTTTAGTCAAATCATGAGCCTCATTCTTGACAGGGCAAATGAAGCATGGGCAGACTCTACGGAGGATGATTCACTCAGAAAGCTTCCTTATTCGGTTCGTGCCAACTTCTTGCATCGCATCCTATCGAGACCGGGTCCTGCGGAATATCTGTCGGCAGGAGCTCAGGACGCTGATGCCAGCGTGTCACCAGCTGCCCCACAACAGGCCCTGTTGATCCTTTGACGGTTCACGATCCCTGGGCCCAGGCAGTTCGGCAGTCTTCTAAATGGGAGGACCTCAAACTGCAGGCAGGTCATCCTTTTGTTGACTCAAGCAACAAATCCCTGCCACAAATGCATCGTCTCCAGGCCTCGAAAAGCCGGGGTGGGGTGATCCTTGCCTCAAAGG